GTCTGAAAAACAACTCAAAATTATGCACTGCTACTTTCCGCCGATTGCACATGCTATGAACTTTATTCAAATCGTTAAGATCAACTATTCGTACACCTACCCTACAGTCTAGTTATTACCGTTTCAATCACAATCGAAATCTTTCGACACCAGTCACAATTTTGTTTTACTAGCCCTACCCGTTCCAGTCATTCCAAATCGAAGTAGTAATTTAGTAGCAACGTCGAATTAATAATTGACGAACTATGTCGCCTAGTGCACATATTTATGCCATCAAACATCGCCCTCCCAGTCACACTCACCCTTTCTTCCTTTCCCCCATTTCTGCGGACGCCACACGTGCTATCTGCCACACACTAATTGCAATCAACAATTTATGATATTTAGGTTGCGGACTGGATGGAAACTATTTTTAACATTCGCTAAAGCTGGAGACTGCTGGACTGCGTTGAAACTGCAACAAATATTGACCCAAGATGTGTCAAATTTTTGAAGTAAGGAAGTTTGAACGCGATAGTGCTAGTGATCATCGATCGCCACTGGTTCAATTGATGCTAATTGATATTTATCGATATGCTGCATGAATCGCGCTGACTACCAGCTGCACGCGCATGAGATCACTTGATAGGAGATCGTTGATTTCTAACCTACGTATCATATTCACTGATTTCAATCAATAGAGCATCTGCCTAACACGGGCTGTTTTGATTTGAAAATGTTTTTTGGTCCTCAACACCGGCTTGGTTACATTGGTGATTGGTTACAACTACATAGTGTACGACTTAGTTCGTAGAATATAGATAAGGTGTTCACTGAACTGATGGCTGGCAATCGAATCGATAGTGATAAAAAATTCTATTAAATCTATATCAAATCACGTGTCATAAAACAGGATGGATGTGTCAAATGTTGGCTGGCTTACTCAGCGTGATAATGGGCACATAGTAAGCATTCTTATCTACCGTTACATACGAAGCACGCGGTACACCTGTGGATCTCCACACTTTCCCAATCAACAACACGACCAAGTTGTATTGACTCACGCAAACTGGAACTCGTTTCTAATTTTTCCACTTTGGAAGATTGATTAACACCTATCTTCAAATATCTTTCCTGATATCTGCAAGTGAAGGCTAAATATTTACACATTTCGAACATCCCGTAGTCGCTAATATTCCCATGTTAATGTAAATGACAATTGGGCAGCAATGAGAAACGCTTGTGCGTTCGGGTTGATGACGACACCAACTGTAACGACCGACGACGACGCGCAGTCGTCAGTCGGTGATGTAATCTCCCCATTGTCAAGTTCATTGTAATTCTCTCATTCTTAAAAGTGGGAAATGAATGTAATTAGTGTTCCAGTGTTTACAAACTAAGCGAGTGGAGACGCTCTGAATCGTGGTGGGTTGAGTGTGGATGAGTAATGCTTGGTCACAACACCGCATGGATTGTGAGCTTGGATGACATGACGGAGGAAAGAGCGAGGAAGGGTTGGTTGATGTCCATTATATCATGAAATCGTTGGTGATTCTATCAACCGTGCATGCCACTAACTGTAACAATGTTTAGATTCAGTCGGTTTCATGTCACGTAGAGAGATGTTGAATTTTATGGTCATTTGACCTATGCATCAAAACTAAAGCCCTACAGTAAAAGTATGGACGACTGTCACCACAAAACTGAAAAAAATCTGTTCCAATCGAGCAAAGCGGTGCATTTTGACGGTTCGATTGGAACAACTTTTGACAGACGTCCATACTTTTACTGTAGGGCTTTAATCAAAACTAGGGTGCATCATTAAAAAAATAGTATTGTCAACCATAAAGCCATATATGTAAAATATCTGTTCATCAGCTGAGATCTCAGAAAAAATCTAATTTGCTAGCTGAGTCTCGGAAATTTGTGTATTGAATGTCATCAAAATAAATTGCAGAACTAGCCGGCTGTTGGAATCTCGGAAAATTAAATTAAGAAAGATTAACTTGTGTTTTAAAATTTAGACGTTCAGTGTCTTAAGTGTTATTTTTACGCTCAATTTTTTTTTTTGTTGGCGGTTGTTAACATTAGGGTTGTCCTCAAATTAATTGATTTTTAAAAACTAACTTTGTAATTTTTGAAAATCAAGACACATGGTCCTGAGAAAAGTTTTTTTTTATATACATAATGCGTTTATTTTTCCAGGCTCATTTTCCGTAGCTTTGTGGAGCCGGTAAAGCGGGGGCCGATTACTCGCGGCTATCTCGAGGTTAGGAGTAACAAATTGTAACAAATGGATGGCAGGGTAGGGATTGAGAACACAGCGTTTGGAGAGCAATGTGCTCTTGATCTCGAACTAGGCGACACTCTGATGAAAAAGACAAACATGGGGGTACACCGATGGGCAGCAAACAACTTGGGAGAACACAAGATGACACTAACCACTAAATCCTCAGATCGATCCGTTTTAAAAACACATAAATTAAATTCAAATAGTCGAGATCTCAGCTCGCCAAGACATCTCTAAAGGGTATCGCGGGTTGTTTTCCTCGGGCCCTGAGGGATATGGATAACTCAGATCTGGCAACACGGTGTAAGATACATGACCAAACAATATTCTCGATATCGTGATAGCCACTGCCACATGCACATAAATTTCTGCCTGAGAGCCCATTTCTATAGAAGTGCGAGTTTAACGAACAATGATTGGACATAAGCCTTGACATAACACGTATAAAGTCGCGGCTCATGTTCAACCCTTTGAACCATGGTTTGTTCGATACCTGTGCGAGAATAGAATGTAACCATCTTCCCAAATCACCACCACTCCATTTAAGTTGCCAACTGATGGGAACTTGCTAGCGAGCAATGGAGAAAAATTCGTAGAAGGCGATTTGTCGCTCAAAAATATCGCCTTCCATAGCGCCCACCTTAGCTAACGCGTTCGCTTTCTCATTACCCGGAATTGAGCAATGAGAAGGGACCCAAGCTAAGGTGACAGTATAGAAGCAGTTAGATAAAGCACTCAGTTTAGATCGTATTTCAGGCAGGAAATACGAGGAGTGCTTCATTGGCCTCATTGAACGAATAGCCTCCAATGAGCTAAGACTATCCGTAAAAATGAACTAATGGTCAGAAGGTAGTGAGGCAATTCGCTCTACTGCGTTAAATATCGCTGCGAGTTCCGCAACGTATACGGCGTATGGTTTCTGCAGTTTATAGGAGGCGCTACACGCAAACCAAACATTTATTACAATGGATGTTAGTTCCATTTCCTATCATCCTCTGTTCATGAACATCGCAGCGAATGTTAGAAGTTGACCTAGCAGGCGATGTAATGGTTTTTTGTCTTTTTTATTTCGTGTTCTATCTACGCTTTCGACTATACCAATAAGCTTTTTTATTTATAACATTGTAGAACGACGCACACACTTGCCTTGAATCCCTCAAGCAGAAAAAGCATATGAAGTCAAGTATGAGAGGAAATGAGCGCTTCGTGGTTACTTTTAGGCTATCCATATTCATAAGTATGGAGATAGCAGTGGAGAAAGCACAGGTCTGATAATCGTAACGTCCGTGGTTCGAATCCAGTCGGCAACCTATTTCCTATTTTTTACGACATAATTAATTTCACTCACTAATACACTCCACATTTTCGGTCTCCAATTTTCTTGCATTGAACCGCAGCAAGGTAAATCGCATCCTCGGTTCATGCGGTCTCCACTAACATCCTCTGATGATGAATCCCACATAATTGTAAGCGAATCTTACATCCCCCGGTTGGGTGTAGCCAGCCAACTTCGTGCGGCGGCGAATTTTATTCGACCGGAGCGTCCTCCGGAGTCCAAAGTTGGCACGATTCCCTGCCATAATGCGTCATTGAATTTCTCTGCTGGTATCATTTTCGGCGGTCATCAGTGAGCCCATATACACGAACTTATCGACCACCTCGATTTCGTCACCATCAATCTGAACTCCTGGTGGGAGGCTAACATTGTCTTCCCTAAAACCTCTTCCTTTCATGTATTTTGGGGGTATTTTATAAAGAAAATAGTTAATACCACGTGATCTTTAAGAGATATCGATTAACCTTATTCGGAAGAAATGCTCATTTTAACAAGTTTAAAAAGTTACTTAAAGATGACATTTACGATGACTGACTGAAACACATATTATACTTGATTATCGGATTATTTTCAAAACAGCATAAGTTAAAAATTAACGATTATTTTCATTACCTTTTTAATTTCTAAAATAATTAAAAATTTAATGATTATCTCAACAACAAAATTTATTAACCTATCATTACCGGTCATCTTTCATGCTTGGTAGAAACGCCTCGGCATAAATTGTGCGCTACGCAGAGATAATCCACATACAAGTGTAGACGCTGTTAGATTGACGATAATACGAAAACCCTAACCACATAAATTCCTATAACTTATTTCGCATATCATGGTAAAGATTTATCATTTAGCACGAATCTTGAATGTCTCTTCCTGAAAATCTACAATATACCTTTATTAAGACACATTTGTACCCAGAACTGCTTTTATTTATCTGTCACAAACCAAGTATGAAATGTTATCACCTATGCACATATATGTAACTGGATATGCTCCAAGAAAAAGTACCATATTTGTTTGGAACAGCACCGGCCGGTGTATTTGCTATCTAGTCGACCGATACCACTAGGCGGATAGACTTGGTTTGGTTTGGCTCGCTAAAACCAACAACATTTGAAAATCATTGTATAAACACAGGTGCGGGTGTGAAAGTGGAATTCAAGAGTAAGCATCGTGCAATCGTCAATATTCATATGTGCCTACTAATAAGCCCACCTATGTTGACCAATCGACGTCAGACAGTATTCCACGGGTTACTGCGATATGGGGACAGGAAAGAATAATGCTTGAGTAATTTCCTCAATGCGGAAAAAATCGACGGAAAATCTAATGTGCTTTTGATTATTTCCGAGCTGGTATCGATTATGATTGAACGTGAAACATAAAATAGCTTACTCGTTCGAAGAAAAATGTTGTCACTTGTAACTGGAGCTTTATTCTAGTCACTTTTGAGGCACTCTACTTATTTATTTATTTTTGTCTGGATTAAATAACATAGCTGACTTCATAATTACTTTATGCTGCAACCGACCAAGAACGCTCATGTAAATTTTGTTTTCGTACGCGTGGACGCCGAGGTGTCTTCAAATTTGACTTCGACCTTCAACTATACACTCGATCCAATTCACTTTTTTTTCGTTACGATTCATATTTTTTTCCCCGTTCTGAAATGATTAGTCACTGCTGTAATGTGCACACATATGTAGATACATTCGATTACACTAAAATGTTCCGATACGCGCTACTGATGGCTAAGTAGGTAGTTACCCACAATAATACTGTCGATTGTTTGTGTGATCCGTACGATGAAAGTACCACCAAAATTACGGATAATGAAGCCCGAGTCTTGTCTGATCAACCGCCGATGACCGACTGACTGACTGGTTTGTGTGAGATGTGAGTTGTTGCGACAAAAGCTGCACGACGAATGCGTACCACCCGGCTCATTGATGCCTGTACGATGGAATATGGTGGTGGGTTGGAGTGCAGAGATAAATGCTGGGTGGTATATTCTGAGAGCATGAGAGCAGCCCGAGCACGTGGAAGTGGCTCTCCGGGAATCTTGCTAGTTACACTTGAAAGCAGGCTTGATGAAATTCAAACCGCCGAAATTTTTTTCTCTCCGTATTATGAAATCATTAGATGTTATGATGATATTTTGTATTTGTTTCCGTGAGTCACATTCAACGGTTTTATGATTGCTGAGTACTCCTCAGTGATCTTAAAATCGCTGATTGTAACTTCCTGAAAATAAAATGGACAGATGTTATATGTCAAACACATACTTTGTAATGCCTTCTTTTAACTTAGAAATACAAAATATCATCATTATGTCTAATGATTTCATAATTCCGAAAAACGTTAATTGAGAATATGTACTACTGTCAATGCGACTGCATTTTTTATACTTCACGGTGTCTCTGGTAGAACAGCATTAATAAAAAAAACAGTATCGCTAAATCACTCACCAAACGAAAGCTTATGCTCTCCCCTTTCAAATGAGACTAACCTCCAAATATCAGCGAAAAACATAATTTTGATATCACATCAAAAAGGATGCATTTCAATCGTGTCAAAAATATTTACTTACTTAACGATCCTGCGCACCTCCAGAGGTGCGAAAGATTTCCATCCTGGGTGATTACTAGCTTTGGCCTGGACCTGTGCCCAAGTCAAATTTCGGTCAATATTCTTAATTTCACTGTTTAGGCTCCACCGCCACGAGCCTCTGGGTCTGCCTCTGCTGCGATGTCCTGCTGGATTCCAGCCCAGTGCTTGCTTGCAGATTTCGTTTCCGCTCCGTCGTAGTGTGCGGCCGACCCACCTCCACTTCCGTTCACGAATTTCTGTCTCTATCGACTTCTGATTGCACAAACTATGAAGCTCGGAATTTGAGATCCAATTGTGGGGCCACCAGGCACGAATTATGTACCGCAGGTATCGATTGATAAACACCTGCAGCTTCTGAGTGTTCTCCGCTGATACACATCATGTGTCACTGGCGTATAACAGCACAGACTTCACGTTCAAGTTAAAAATTCGAATTTTGGTGCGTCGACTGCCAAAAGCAGCCCTCGCCTTCTTAATCCGTGCACCTATGTCACTCTTGATGCCGCCGTCCGACGCTATCTGGCTGCCAAGATATTGGAAGCTTTCGACTTTCTCCACTGCCTGCCCAGCTACCGTGAAATTGGAACGGTTTTCCGTGTTGGCATCCAACGATTTGGTCTTGTTGACGTTGATGGTTAGACCTGCTTCAGAGGAGCTTATTCTGCATGTCTGAGCGCCGTTGTGCTAATAACGCAACATCATCAGCCAAATCGAAGTCATTGAGATGCTCCATGGTAATAGGCTGCCACAGCAACCCACGGTTCGGTACACGGTCAACGGCCAACGACTCGTCGATTACGATGAGGAATAGTAGCGGTGATAATATACATCCTTGCCTCACATCCGCGATTACGCGAATCGGGTCAGACAAAGCTCCGTTGTGCAGCACTCTGCATGAGAAAGCCTCGTACTGCGCTTCGATGAGGTTGACGATCTTATCAGGGACTCCCTTGCGCCTCAGAGCGCCCCACAAGTTTTCGTGGTTTAGTCGGTCGAAAGCTTTTTCGTAGTCAATGAGTACCAAGTACAGGGACTGTTGGAACTCATTGACCTGCTCCAAGATGATTCAGAGCGTGACAATATGGTCCACACAGGATCTTCCAGTACGGAATCCTGCCTGCTGTCGTCGGAGAGTCGCGTCGATCTTCTCCTGTATCCGATTGAGGATAACTTTACACAGAACTTTGAGAACAATACACAGTAACATGATGCCTTGCCAGTTGTCGCATACAGTTGGATCCCCCTTCTTGGGGACTTTTACCACGACGCTCTGCATCCAGTCGGCCGCAAAAGCCGCGGTGTCCCAGATATTGACGAATAGTTGATGCAATATTTGTGAGGATATCATGGGGTCAGCTTTGAGCATCTCTGCTGATATGCGATCGACTTCCGGGGCTTTGGAATCACCCTTGGCGGATCATGCCGAGATGTTGATGGTTGGTTGACCGTTGAAACTTCGAGAAGTTGTTCAAAGTGCTCAAACCAACGATTCAACTGGTCAGTGGGGTCGATGAGCAACTGTCCAGTCGCGTCTTTCACAGGCATCTTTGGGTTCATCCTTGCCCCACTCAGGCGTCGTGAAACATCATAGAGTAGGCGGATATCGCCAGTTGCTGCGACTTTTCCCCTTCATCAGCCAGGGAGTCCACCCACGCTCGCTTGTCCTGTATGCAGGAACGCTTAACTTCCCTCTCTAGAGCCGAATACCGCTGACGGGCCTCGTTCTTGGCTCCTCGGGTCCTTTCTCGCTCTATCGCGGTTTTGCTTCTCTCCGCTCCTCGATCTTCCTCCAAGTTTCATCGGTGATTCACTCCTTCCTCTGAGTGCGCAGCTCACCCAGGTTGTTCTCGCTTGTTTCAATAAAGACATTCTTGATGCTCTTGTAAGTCTTGATTATAACGTCGGTTGCTAGTGCAATTATTTTTCATATCGTTGTCAAATGTTATGATTTCGAAGTGTATTGTGCAAAATGTTTACCGAAGAGTTCGTCACATGTACGGTAAGTAAAATACATACATTCACTTTACATTGCTATTATACTATGTTAATTAGTAAATTTATAATTTTGTATAATGTAATTGGCTGCTCATGTTCCTCATTTTATTTAATATGTTATTTGCAGGCACCGTTTTGGGATGCAGTTCAACGAGACTTTGGTGAGATTCCTGCGAAGGTGCAGAAGGTGTTGGACATCCTGTTATATTCAGGTAGCCTGACCATAGATTTTACCGCCCAGATGACATATATATCAAGCAAACAAACGATCGTCAACAAAACAGTTTATTAGAAGATATAAGTATAAGAGATTGGATTTTCTTTGAAGGATCAATTATTTGTCACGTAAATGCATTCTCATTTCAGACAGGTAAAAGGGAGATTTGTTATAGCATGTACTGCAAATAATATAAAAAATAATACTACTACGTTCGGACATTATCTGATATTACGTAATATAGGCTAACTTGATATCAAAAGTCATACATATGATTTCCAGTAAAAAATTCACGTCTTTTTCTGATATCAGCTATAGTCCGAACGTAGTAGAAGTTCAAACTAAAATTAAAACTATATTCTCAGGTAGAACAAAGATGTGTTCGCCTCAACGGATTAAGTAAAATGCCAAGAAACTACAAAAATACGAGGAGTTTTAGTCAAAGGAAGCATCTTTAAAATTATGGACGGTGGAGGACTGTTGAACGCCCATGAGAGCATTATTGGAATCGATGTTGAGAAATACACATCGCATATCCAACCACCAGATGCTACTTTTTGAATATTTTTGTGTTTTTATTAAATGCACATAAACCTATTATTACAGTTAATATTTATAAATCAATGTGTCACCAATAAGAAATAAACAATTAGTTTATATCCATGATAAAATATACCCAAATCATACAACTATTCGACGAATAGTTGATGATACCCCAAACACGTCGTTATGAAATATAATCATACAATTTTAATGAGGGAATGCACAAATATTGTACCTTGCATGATAATTTCGCATAACCATCGAAGCACGATGAGGATAACATATAAGCACGCAGAGCATTTTATATGCTGACGCTTATGAGAAATCCACATTTATCTGCGTATATATCGAGTATGCGGGGTTCTATGTTCATTTTTATTAGAATAGCATAGTGTGATTTTTAATAAGGAGCACATAATATTAAATTTTAAAATACACTTTATTTTCTCCAGAAAACGGGATGTGGGATATAGGTGACCACTTTAAGGGTAAAATATTTTTTTTCTCGTATTTCAGAGGAAAAGACACATTCTCATAAGCGAAAGGCTTAATACATACTAATCGTCTTTTTCGCTGAAGTTGGAAATCTTTTCTTTTAAATGATTTATTCATTGATACGTTAACGCTCGCAATGCACACAAACCAGCCTAACACACAAAATTCCTGACAACATTGAATAAACAAACTACAGAAATTCACCTAGCAACCAGGTAAGCATACTAGTACTAGGTATTTCTTAAGTATTTTTAAGTATTTATGGGCATCTAAAATATCAGTCAGATATTTGTAAGTACACCGCGAGAAATATAAAGTTTAGAGTGGGATGCCCCTAGCCTAGACCCTACCAATCGACCCATCAACTCATGAACCGGGGACCAACGGTTTTACTGTCCTTCCGAAGGAAGGCTCTCAGAACATCCCGGCGGCGCCGACTGGGATTGAACCCAGGCCTGCTGGGGTGAGGAGTAATCACGCTTACCACTATACCACCGGCGCCACTTAAATATAAACGAAATGAAAAATAAAAATAAAAAATCGTAGCAGGCCATGACTCTAAAATCCTATCTGTCATATGCATTCTGCGTACGTGGTATTGTGAACCAACTGGTATTTGTTTCTTGTGAAAAAGTGAAATT